ACATTCTCTTAAGCAGATCAGCTTGAGGGTAGGATGGCCACTCCTAGATCTGAATATTGTAGGAACTTTTGATGGTGAAAGATCCATTTGGGTTAGGACCCCAAACCATTTTATCCTACAGATTAGATCTAGGCAGAGGGATAGTTAAGATTTTGTCAATCAGATCATCGTCTAAAACCTGAGACAGTTTATTTTTGTCCTAGTTGTTGTTTGTGATAAAGTCCGATACTTTTTGATCAAGATTTAAAAGGCCTCTTTTGTGCTCAGGAATGAGGTCTAGGAGAGGGAAAGGCAAAATCGAATGGGAGGTCCAGAAAGGAATAGAACCACCATTTCCCACCACCCACCTCAGACCTTTTTACAAAACCTATCTAGCATCCAAAATAGACTTCTAGGCAACAGAACTCTGGAGAGGGGAGAACTCTAGAGATGGAGTCCACCGTGGCATGGAAAGGGGAGAACTCCGGAGACCACCTTTTCAAAGCAAAGATCTGTCCTTGTATAAACCAAGGTCTGTTCTCCAGCACATACCTAATGTCTTCCTCATAGCAAAACTCTACTTTATACCACTCCCTCCTAATATGGTCGATGGAGACATCCCCTTGAAGGCACTTCCAGTCATTTTTAAGGTGATGCATAATGACTCTCCTAAGCACAAACTTCCCAAAAAATTTGCCAACCAGACAGTAGTTTTCAAAGTGGTTCTAAACACTAGAGGCCAAGGCAGAAGTGAACCTAGTTTCATTTTTATCAACACGAAAGGTGAATATGCCCTTATTCACCACAACAGGGTTCGTGTTGTTGTTGTGAGAAGCACTGGCATTAAGTTGGGCACTCATGGTGTAAACGCACAGAGATTGTAAGCACAGGAAAACACAAACGCAGAGCACAATGTTGAATCTATAAGGGTCATCCTATAAATAGTAAACAGAGACTTAAGTGATTGGATAAACGAACCCCAATGCCTTGTGGCTCAAGACTCGTGGGAAGATATTTTTGAGTGTCTACAGAACCTAACTACTAGAACAACAAGGTACTACTTAGGGGAGATAGAATCAAGATCAATAAACCCAAACATGGAAAATCAGCAATTAATAAGCAAGACAATCGAGGTTTCAGATAGCACTAAAAGCACACAACAGGACAAAAATTTGATAAAGAAACCAGCATACTCCCCTTAGACGAAGAAACCTCGAAAAGCTCAACTGTCTTGTGGTTTCTTCTCATGCGTGCTTGAAAACAGCAATGGCCAATCCACACAGGGGGATACGAATCATTAACCTTTTTGGTAGGGCTCAGGCAAATGATTATCAACCATTGCCCACATCTCGATTCTCGGATAAGTTTGATCAGAGTAAGAAAAAGTATCCTTGCAATTGATGCTTCGAATTTTCAACCCCTGCACCTCCTCTCTCTCAGATGAGGACATTAATTTTCTTTTTTTCCTCTTCCAATTCCAAGATCCCAATTTGAGAAACCCTAATTTTGCATGTTTTCCTTTCTCCCTCTTTACGCTCTTCGGGGTCGTTTGTTACGCAGGCTTGACTTGGCCTGGCTTGGACTAAATTTAGTACCATATTTGTTTCATCTAATTATAGTCTTAGATAGGATTGCTAATACCAGGCCCACCAAAAACACCTTCTTAGGAGGGGATTACTAAACCCATGTGGAAAGCATAGAACAAAATATCGATAATTTTGCCTCGTCTTTTTGGGGCAGCGATATTTTAGCGCATTTCCATACATATATATATCGTCAATTTATCAATAATTTCGCCGATATTTTAGTAATGATATTTTCGTTCAAGTTGCAGCTTTAAATGGACAATATATCGCAATATTAATGATAATATCGCGATATGAATTTACAAAATTAAACTTAGCCTTCAGATGAATCCCTCAGCCTCCGAAACTCAGCATTTCTCTATCTCTCAACTTAA